GATCGCAAAAAATCAGTCCACCTTCGCCGTCAAAGTCGAATAGCTACTACTTAACGAATCGATGCGAATTATCGACTGCCGCGGGTATTCGATAAAAGGCCGACGAAAAAGCTACTGCCAGAGAAATATAGCGAGCCGAGTGACGCATTCTAATTTGCATTTCGCGATCAGATTCTATTGAGATGTATCGCGTTCCGCTCCGACCGGCCTTGAAGCGCGTAATCACGCATTCAGGAAGCCGTGTGATGCAGTTTCCTCTAGGCGAACGAGAGGCTTTTCTAAGAAACTTATTGCGCTCATTCTTTCCAGCACAGTACGAGCCTGATTGGGCGTGTACGGTTCTCGCGGAGCGGCAGCCTCGTTGAAAAGCGAGAAAAATCCGTATCAAAACGCCGCTGCCTCTTTATTTCAATAGAGTAAACAGCGTGGTTTCGCCAAACGAAGTTAATCCTCAGATTCTTACCACGTACTGTACTATATTCTCGTGTCATCTCATGCTTACATGAATCATTCAATGAACACCTGAAAAATAATTCATTATCCTTGTGTTCCATTAGAACATGCATTTTTTTCTAATGAAGTTTGTTGAATCAATGCATTTTTTTAAGGTTTCTCAACGTAGTCAGTAAGTTTCTTTTAGTGTAAATAATAATTTACTCACCCTACGTGTTCGCAAGTATGCAAATATAATAGAACATAAGTGGATACGCAGCTTTGGGGAAGGCAAATCGGTAACGATCACGTCTGGCCTGGTTCGCCAGCCTCAGTTAACTCGATACACAAGTTGCTTCGTATCCGGCAACTTCCGAAATGAAATTCCCGCTAATTTCAGGAAGAATGCACCCACCGCAAGCAGTGTCGTCTACGGGGAACTACGTAATTATTCCTTCGCCCTCGGCCGACTTCCCGACATAGTTCCTCCTCTCTCGCGCGCCCCATCTAGCCTTTTTTTTCGTCCCGCTTCCGCCTTTCTCTGGGTGACCGCATTAGTCCTCCATTAACGCTCATTAACATGCCGCGTGCAGTTTTAACTGGAACATCGATTCCTAGCCAGAGTATCCGTCCGTTTTCAAGCCAGCCGTATACTACTAGGAATGATCGACGTTCGGCCTAACCCCTGGCAACGCAACCCCCGGATATTCTGACCCCACCGTTCCGCGCGATCGTTAAGGGGGTGCGTGAGGGAACAAAGAGAACGCACGAGTACACATTCTACATATTTTTGCTATATTTCATGCTCGTTTCATATAAGCAATTAAAACTATTTGGTATGATTTTTCTTTCCAAACTAACATTTGTTTCGGAATAATTTTCTGCCCTCGTTTGCATACCAGCTGTTTCCCTCGATTTATTTTCAACGCTGTTTAAAATTCGACGAGATAGATTCGTTCTTAGCCGGTATCGATACTGACGGAAAAGATGCGTACACTATCCCTCAAAAGTACGTCGGCACCTACCATTTCTTCAGCCATTCTTATGCAAAGTAAAGCATTTTTCAAGTGAACGTTTCTCCCCATTATTCATTTCAATTTATAATATTCAAATACTGCATAGTTTTTTATGCAGCGTTCATAATTTTTAGATATTCAATTCAGGATAAGACATTTAATGAAATGTTGAGATAATACATTTTCCTGAAAGAAGCGTCGAGGTATTTTTGAGAGGTAGTGTAGAAGGCAAACATATTTTTCACGCGACGTCGACGCCAATAAAGATAGAGCGGCTGGTATCGAGGGCCATCAAGAGCGATTCTCGTTGCAGCGAGAAAGGGTAAACAGGGGAAAGTAAGATGCACGCGGGTTGATTCTCGCGCGGCCCATTCGGCGGCATCAAATTTACGGCTTTTCGGAAATCCTACCGCGTAGACCGTGGGCCACGTCGAACGCCGGGGTTTAACGAGCAGCGCCGGTTATAATGGCAGTAAACTCGTTTATCGCCTAAATACACACGCGGCACACGGTTGATGGGAATTAACGTCGAAGCTAACGTGTCCCAGTAATAAGCGGTACTCGTTTTCCAGGGGACGGGAAATCGTCGGAGAAAGCGTCCGATTATAACGATACCCGCGGTGGCCCGGGCGCGATTTCAATTTTAACCGGTTAATAACGATGATTAATTGAAACAAAGAGAACGGCGCGCGGACGAAATTAATGGCCGGTAATTATCGCGATCGTGGAAGCCTCTCAACGGTTATCCCGTTCCCGAATCGATCCCCGAAACCGAACGTATTGTAACGGAACACGAAACGGGTGTACTCTGAAAATCCGAACGGTGACACGTATGTTAATTTATTCAAATCATACAAAGCACCTATCTTTTGTTATTACAACGCGTGAAATTCGTAAATGAGTAACGATGAATTCATCAGATACTAAAACGTATGAATTGGGCAAAGCGAGTACGTGAAAAGGAATTTCCATTTATCGCATCGGCTGAATGTTTTCGGGATACGATATTATCGGGCTACACAGGTTTTCGCTTTAGAATCCCCGGAAGGAAGTCGTTTTCGTTCGACAGATCTGGTTGAAACGAAACTCTTTTCAGTTCAGTTGATAGAATTTTAATAGCTCGAACATACTGCCGGGTAATTAATCCAATATTTTCAAACGAAATAAAACTGCATACACAATGCATTTTAATCTGGATTTGTTGGCAGGAAAAAAGCGTAAGCGCTATTTCCGAACGGTTCGATTTCCATTTGGAGTAGCGTCGAAACAATTTTTTAACATTCTTATAATACGGCTTTAATTGAAACGAGGAGAATTTCGCACGGTTTTATCGGCGACCCCGCGTCGATGCCACGCGTTCTCGTTGCGCAATTACATTACAAAATATCTATGTACACTCGAGACCCGTTTCGACAAACGAACCGAGCAGAGACAACGAGGCTAAAAAAGGAGAAACAACTTTATCTCGTTCCTGAAAACGAAGTTACCAATTGTCCCCCTTTCCCGTGGATACGAGATACCGTTCACGATTCATCCTCGGCAGGGAAAAGACAATTCGTCCGGACTTTACGGCACAAAAGAATCCGTGGCCCCTGATGAAACGGGAAAACGCTGATATTTGTATCCGTCGCGCATACCCTACTATATACACCGAACTAATAACACCGATAGTAAATTGAACAACTTTACACGAATCGATACTCGAGAAACCCTTAGCTCGAGAACCAGCTTCCATTTAAAATTCGCGAACGTTTTTCCGGTAGGAGACAAGCTAAAAATGGTCGACTGGCAAACGGGATTTGAACATCTGCTCCGACTACCAGGTGCGCGAGGCTGAGAAAGATGAATCTACCTCGTCGTGTTGTTCGTTTAAATTATTTTGAGGTCACCATACGGTTAAACAATAAAACGTTATACCGATCGGCGTTCCGGAGACAATGGGTAAATGTGGAAATATAGTTGCAGCTCGAACCGAGAGAGAGAGAGATTGCACAATGAAGCAAACGTGGTAACTCGCGGTACACGCTTCGCTCTGCGGACGAATGGGAAAAGCGGCGAATGCAAGCAAGGATTGTTGTATTTGCCTGTGACGCAACGTCGTTTAATTATATGCTTAAATACTCGAGAGCGGGCATGCTGCAAAACCCTTTTGTTGGAAACGATTCGAACGTGCGAGCGCAGCGGAGCGCGTATATTCCGAAACGCGACGCAGCTTCTTGACACTCGTTAACAACAGAGTCAACCTCAACAGGGGCTCGTATCGCTCTCGGTTTCCCGAGGAAGATTAGAAAGCATCGAGGAGCTAAACAGAGCCTGATAACGATAGTGTCGTTACCCGTACGTTTTTTCCCTCGTTATTGCGTAAGTAAGCGATGGCAGAGATACGTTGAAAGCTTGCGTATAAACGGGGCACCGTCCGTTGCACGGGTCTACTTAGTAATTTTTTTTAAAAACCGTTCTCCTATCCGTCGAGCGTAGCTGCAGCCCGGATAAAAATTAACGAATCCTTTGCCATCCCCGGAAGTTACGCGTGTCGCGAATATAATATTTAATACCGCGTAAAGAGGCGTGCGTGTACACGCGAATTAAAAGCGATGGAAATTTTAATTACACAGTGCGAACCGGCTTGGATACGAATTGAGGGAAAATCGTGATTCGCGCACGGATATTATTTTAATTAAAGGATCGTCGAACTCAGCCATTTCGTTCCCACCGCAATTTTAGTAGTTGTAATCCACTACTTCTGTTGTCAACTGTCGCCGAAGATAGATCCTCCTTTGGCGTTACGGACTGCTCCTGCGTCTTGCGTTACATAACAAACGGCAGGTTGAAAGACAACGCTTACTTAGAAAAACCGTTGCAACGGAGGGCGAACGCGTGATTTATCAACGTTCAGGAACGGAGATTAGTTTTCTCGGCGATAACACGGACTCTCGTCGTCTCCTCTTCGCTGGCGCGAACGTAATTTAAACTCGATCGCGATCCAATCTCTGGAGCTTCTCGCGTTCACACAAAAATTTTGTCACCCGTTGTTCACGCGTTAACTCGGACGCAGCCATTCTAATGGAGTTTAAATATTTGCCAGTGCAAATAACAGATTCGAGTACGATTCCATCGTCGCTCGGTCTCTGTCCAATAACCGAGCAAACGGGAGCAACTTCAGAGATGAAGGAGATGTTATTGCGAGCAACCGATGTAACTCTTTCTAAAGGATCCAAATTTCTTTAGAAAACTATGTACCGCGTACCGAAGTTCTGAAACTGGGTCTGTAGCCTTTACGAAGCCTTACAGAATTGCCTTTCCCCTTGGGCTCCCCTCAGTACGCGATCGCAACCGGTTGATCGATTTTTCACGAAATGACCGGTCGCGGCAAAGAATTCCTTTCGCGAACGAGAAAACAAAACAAAACCCGAGCACACCGTGCACACACGTACATACATAGGAAACGTAACAATGCGCTCTTCTACATTCATAACAAATACATGCATGTGCAAAACAGCGTGGAAATCGATCGAAACAATAGAGAATAATGATTTGTACGTTTTCACTTACCCATTTTCTTATTGCGATGTACGCCGGGACTGTTCCACGTACGGCTATGCATGGTCCATAGAATTAACAATAACCCACACTATAGTTCCAGTAATTTCTCTTTCCTTTCTTCGTGCTGCCGTGCGATTTTAGAGCGTCGCATCGAGTCGTAATATCGTTACGCGCGTACCGGGGGATGGAGCGTACGCTAAAACCGGTAAATAAACATCGCGAATGCGAGAAACGAGATCAAAGGGACGGCGCGACGGTTCGGAAACGGAGCGATGTCCTTGCACAGCAACGAGAACCGCGTTATATTCCCATGTTCCGAGTACCGTTTCCGAGAAACTGCTCTTCCAGAGTTCCTGCCCGAGCGGTTTTTACCGTTTTCACATGACTAACAGGTTGACCGTGAAACTTTCGTCCACGCACTTCGCACTAAACACAGGCTGCCGTCTTTTCGAGGAGTTCCGAACAATTAACCCCGTCGAGAAAGAATGATAGTCTCAAGGAAAATATTCACTTCGTCCAAACGTATTCACTGCGCGATTTCAAAAGTAGTTCGAAATGTCGCTTCCTTTCACTCCTTCCTTTGTGTTACCTGAAGATCGTCCTTTAGGGCTCGATTTCCTTGCGACGCTTCGCGCGTGGATTAGCCGTTGTCCTGCAACTTTTATTCTTCCGGTTCTTCGATCGATTCTATGGAAGGATCCTGAAGGATCTAAATCGTTGGTAATAATTTTCACAAATAAGAAAACGAAGGAAGATCGTGTGGAAAACGTTAACGTGATGGGACGCGATGTTGCTCACGCGGCGTCTCGCACTCGACTGCGAGGTCGACCGGTCGGATCGTTCGGAACGAACACCGATTTAAAGCTAGCCGCAGGCTACCACCGTTGCAACATCTCGTACACGGCCGATTTTCTTTCCAATTTTCCTGCATTCGCTTTCCCGCTGATCGAAGATACATAATATCCTCTCGGTGAAGACAAAAGCTGACAGGTAATTAACCGTCTTTGTGGCGATACTGGCAAGAAGAACTGTTCAACGCCAAATCATCGGGGGGATCTACGGTGGTTAATTCCTAAGGGTAAAGGGAACTGCATCGATTGGTCGGACGGACTCTTCGAAAGGAGAATCGATGCATTCAGGATTTCGTGACCGGATCTGCTATTTCGAGGCCCCTTATGTATAGAACAAAGTTTTACCTGGCCACTTTAAGTGCCTCTCTATCGTCAATCAGAGATTATATCCTAATCAATGACTCGGTCAATTATTTCGAGATATCTCGTCTATTTTATATCTACGTCTCGGTTTTTTTTTCGATGCTCGCGGAAATGTTACAAATGCCGCGTAATGCACAGTAAGCTATCGTTGACAGCGATTTCATCGAGAAAAATTGTCGTATCGATTGTGTCATATCTTTCGTATCTAAAGTCAGTCCCAGAAAATTAAGTAATCGGTTGGCCAGTTTTGCAACGATTTCATTAGTCTCGTGATAAGAGCTATTAACTACTCCGTTTTTAACGAAAAGGCAGCTATACGTGTATACTTGCAACGGGCTTTTATATTCCTGGTTCAAAGGCCTGTCCCCCTCGGCTGTCTATTGTTCGTTACCTATCTCCGTCTACGCATAGGGGCCGATCTTATATATTTTCGAGGGGTTCACAGCCATAATGGCGTGAAAACAAAGAACACCGTCGCACGGAACTTCTTTCTCTTTAAAGGAGCGATGCTTGGAATTTACCTGAGACTGTGGAAATTTCGGTACGACGAGAGAAATACATGCCTAGCATATTGGAAGCGAAGTGAATAGCCGGAATACGTTTCACACGGAGGAAAATAAGAATTCTTGCGGAATCCGCCGAATATTTCCTTAGAACACGGGTAATACGAAAGCAAATAATATTCCTTTTTAACTGTGTTCGCGATTATTAATTCTTTATCCGGCTCCGCGTGCCATTTCCGAATATTCGACGAACAGGAATGTATAACGAGCCACTCTCGCGCAGTCGCTTGGAATCATTTAGCTGCGATATTATGAAATTTGTATGACTTCGTTTTTACACCGATTACAAAGCAATTTTTTTACCTTATCTTTTTTCCCAACGATGATACAAAAATGTTAAATGTCCGGTTTAAATTAGTTTCGCTCGTTGAATGATGCTTAAATACAAAAATGCAATTCATTAATTTTTACATTTTATTACAGGAGATACGTAAAGACAGAATTAAATATGCAGTTTGAAAACATAAATCAGTTTAATATTTTAGGAGATGGGATTTTTATTGAAAATTTGTTCACTATAGATGTACTTTATTATTATATTTACATAACAATTTCTCTAAACATCAGAATAGTATAAATGATGATGTGACAGCTTATTTATCAGGAATGGCATCCAGACCCTGAAAAACAATGTTTCTTATATTTTCCTGTGTATCCTAAAATACCAATTAAGCATTAAAATATCTGCTTACATTAAATTTCCAAAGTTTTCTCTCATTCTGCTCAAAATCCCTTGTATATCCTAAGTGCGATATATCAGAGTCATAGTTCCGTAGATTTGGCTGCAACAACGAAATTTGAGAAAATTAACAAAAAATGTTCATAACAAACTATCTTTTAGAAAGATGTGAATTATTCAAGTGAGGTTAGGTCGCAGAATTCACTTACATTCCCAATGAAGAACTTGTTAATGTATGGTGCAACATGAAACGGGATTGCTGAGAATATCCCGATTATAATTATTGGTGGAAGCGCCTCGTACCACATTTTTTAGACAATTACTTTCGAACAAATGAATACGTTCTCAAGCTTACTCGAGCATTACGTCACGGAATCAATACTGTACTGTGCAGTGCACGCGGAATGCAAACTGAAATCAAAGTTTCTAACAACACTTTTATCAGCTTTTATTAAGAATTAAGTAGTCCTTGACTTTCATATTTAATAAAATATCTTAAGTACAGCTGTTAAAGAAATCAACCGGATCAGCTGTGATCGAGAAGTTTTCAGATGTATGTAAATAATCGAGCACGTGCACGTAATCTGCGATTCAACAATTTTTAATAATCGTATTCTATCCATCGCGAGTCATGAAATTTGTGCTATACATTTCTTTTGTTAATCTCAATTAAATTCAATTAAATTTTGAATAGCTGCTCTTCCTTTCTTTTTCATAACGCCGCGATACGTGTTATCACTTAGTTTGCTACGTAACTCGATAGACTGTACAATGCATCTTTACATTCATACGTGTTTAACTAAACTTTAAATCGTTTCGTTTTCAATTAAATCCGAATACTTTATTTAAGAAAATGGTAAGTTTGATCGTAAACATCGTGGTCGATTCAAAAATAGATCGATGATAAATTCGAGTTCGTAACGTTTGAAATGTTCAGCTAGCTTTGCTACAATTAGGAATTGATGGTTTCGAGTATATATTATGAAAGTACATAAATAAATTTCAATTTTAGGAAAGCTTAAAGAGAAACCTCAGACCGCCAAAAATGTTATTGAAACTGTATTCCATAATTATCCTAATACTAGATCTCGTGACCCTCGTATTTGGGATGTTCTTTGCCATTTTAATTGCATTCTACAGAATATTTAGACCTCCTCCTTTAAAAAGTCTTCGTGGGGAAGTTGCAATGGTAACAAAATATAAATACATTACTTCGCGTTTACACAGGTTCTGTTAAACTCTAATTGTAAGATACAGGTATGTTATTTAATGATTAGATTGTTGGTGCAGGAAGAGGTATAGGCAGAGAACTGACAATTCATTTGTGTCAGCTTGGTGTCGATGTTGCTTGTGTAGATATTAATTCTGAGAACTGTGATGCTACTGTTCAAATGGCATACGGATTGCCAGGGATTGCTGCAATGTACATTTGCAATGTAACAGATGAAGATAAAGTAAGTTTGCCTAATGTAAATTCAAATTACTCATCATTATTACATAGGTGTTGATTGTAAACGAAATACAATAGGTACATACTACAGTGAATAATATTCGAGCAGAGTTAGGTGAAATTACAATGCTTTTCCATTGCTGCAGTATACCAAGCCCTAGAGCATTAATTCAAGATATACCAGAAGTAAGACGTACCATTGATTTGGCTGTCCTTAGTCATTTCTGGGTAAATATCCTTTACTCGATACCTACTCTAAATTGATCTTCATGTAACATTTGGTTTCTAGTTGATAGACAAAGTTTTACCAAGCATGCAACGTGCTGGTAAAGGGCACATCGTAGTTTTGTCATCCGTGGCTGGCTTGTCCGGAACAGGCACGGTAGGAAGCAGAGTTCCTCTCTCGACTGCACAGTTTGCAGTTCAAGGATTAGCCGAATCGTTGTACAGTGAACTAAGGCATTCAAATAATAACATTATTATCACATTAATTCACGTTTACCCGTTTATCGTGGGTGCCGAAGTCGCAGAAGATATTCGTTTTAGGCAAGTAATCAAACAGCTGGAACTACGTAGTAAATATTTATTACTACTTGTAGTAAATATTTATTGTTCGTAATTTATGCAGAATACCGAGTTACTTTGGCACGATACCTGCTTCAGAGGCGGCTAAACAAATTCTGGACGGAGTACGCCGAAATTATGTGGAATTCAGCGTACCCGGATATTTGCTTTACTTAGGACATATCCTTAGGTAACTATCGATATTTCTAACACATTATTCCTTTTATACTACAATATTTTTACTTGTAGAATATTACCAAAAAGAGCATCGTTCATGCTGCGCGATCTGTTAGATACTGGCGTCGATTTTGGATGAAAATATATTTTTTTATCGTATGAGAAATTACCTGATAATAAATTTTTTATAACGATGTACAAAAACATTCAATAGTTTATTTACATTTCTTATACGTCACGAGTTTCAACGAATTATTCAATAAAGATACATACATGTTTGCAAGTTAATACGTATTTTACATATAATATTTGTATCAAACAAATTAATACAGTATATTCTACGAGAACTGAAATTCAAGTCAGTTAATAACGTTTTATGGGCAAATTGATTGAAAGAAATGCTTACAATATGTACAACGTCGATGATTCGGCGTATCAAAATATTTAGATGTACAGAATACTGAATTCCAGTTTCGATTTCCATACTTATATGTATACAGTTTGTAAATATTTATTAAACTGTCAAAGTAAACCTGTAAACCATGGTTTTACTTAATGCGAGAAGAATATGAATAAAAACATCTACATAATACAGCGAAACTGGCTCGTATATACAGTCGTATGCAAGAGGAGCTCTATTTACAAAATCAAATGTAGAGTCTCACATTGTTGTAAAATCGATTGAAATTTACGAGATACTCGCATACCGTGAATCCAGTGTCGCAAATTACCGAAAGTGCGAAAGAAAATAATGATTAATAATTCACAACGTGAATTCGTTAAAGTTCGGACAATCTGTGGACGATGATTCCAATCCCAACACTGGAATGAGCTTATGCTAATCTAAACCAGGAGGAGCTGGTTCTGAAATATCTGTTTCCATTGTATCTGGTTTTTGTTCGATCGGATAATCACCGGGTGGTGCCTGCAAGAAATTCAAGGAGAAACCGTTTGGATCAGTTTACATATTTATTTCCTATTTGTTTGTCTTTATAATCATATAAAAATCGACTCATTATATACAAGCATCTTTACTCACAATATCAAATTCATCATGCATGTCGCAAGGCGATTTACCCTGAATAACATCCATTATGGACTGCGGAATGTGTGCTTTCTGAAACGCAAAAATCGCGCGAGATCTTCGTTATTAATTCGATTCTCTTTATTAATTTAATAAAAAAGACATACCTGATTCTCGGCAAACGCCTCGACGTGCGTCAGTAAAGGTCCCCTTAAATTGCTTGCCATTTTCAACGCTTCAGCAAGTTGTACCGGGGGAAGCTGCAAAATAACTGCGAAACTCTGCGGTTGCGTGCGTTCACAACACTTTACGAAACCCTCCCAAACTTTGGGCTGCTTCCAAACTTGTTTCAGAATCAATCGCTGAAGTATATTCATAACGAATCCGCTCAATCGTGGATATAATGCTAAACTTTGTATCACTGTACGCATTAATAATGTGGGGAGTGGTGTCATCTCCATAAGGTGTTGCATTACAACGGCCACCGTTTCTTGCGTGTATATTTGTTTCTCCGCGAAACAGAGTGACGTGGCTGTAAATATAACGTAAATAACATTCGAGAAAAGAGTCCAGAACATAAACAGCGAGAGTGATTTAATCGTACCTTTTATAACTGTTTTTAATTCCGCTTTACTGGGATCTATATTATGCAAGGCTATTAACAATTCGGCAGGTGTGATGGGCGACGTGTGAGGCACACCACTTTCATTATTATGAGTTCCTAGCAATCTGTTGAATACTTCTTTAACGACAATAGGATTTAACTTGATGAGTTTGGGGAGGGCGGCTATGACTTCTTTCTTTGTCAAACCATTTAAAACTGGTATCAAGAACCGAACATCCGAGACTCTCGTCTGATAAAGTTCTCGCACCCTTGCTACTAATTCCGCACTCGGTGCAGCTGAAAATGAACCAACGTGTTAAACATCGACTCAACGTTAAAAATATACGTATATAGTATTATAATGTTATACATTTTTCTGTGAGGATATGAATGATTCTCGTGACCAGGGTTTCCGCGCCTTTAGGGCAATTTTCAACTAACGCCAATAATTGCGGGCTCCCCATGCCCAATGATCTCACGGGCCCCTCTACTAATCGTAGGACCATGCGTTTCACGTCGGCGCTCATCGACGTATAAACTCTCGCCAATCTATCAAAACATCATTGATAAGAATTTTCAATGAATTAAAGCATTAATTAAAATTACGTACTCGTGAATTAAATCTTGATGCTCGCTCAACAGAGCGAGATATAATCCAAGACAAGCTCTGGTAGTCGATTCGGTCCATTGGATTTCAACTTGCGGCCTGCCTCGATCCTGCCCGAAGACGATCTCGGGTGGTGTATGAAGCCGTAAGAAACCTAAGTACAGAACCGCGTATTCTTCGATGAGTTTACTTAACTCGGAACGGCTATACAGCTGGCAAACTAATTGTATCGCAGCTTCTCGTATCTGTTTGAAAGTAGAAAATTAATTCTATTAATCTTTACGCTGTAACAATTGCTTCTCTTCTGCAATAACTGTAAAACTTACCGTGTTGTTCTCGTGGCCGGTATGACACAATAATACATTTAGAAAGACCAACTGTTTCGTCGGCCTGCGAATGACCATTTCTTTTAATAACTGCAGCGGCGCCAATCCTCTCGTTTCATCGGAGGATACCATCTTTAGGGCCTCAACAGCGTCTTCCGTAATTAACGGAGCTTCCAAGTATAGCCTTTTTTCCCCCAAAGAAGTTGACATTGCACGGTTAACGTCATGTTTTGTTTTAGCGATTATTTCGCGAGATTATTATTATTATTATTATTACCTATACAGTAATGTATCGCGATCTTTCCCTTGAACTAAATCTATCGCGGATACCAAGGTACATAGTAGAAAATTGTAAGCCTGATGCGGTGCCTCTTGTGGTTTTGTGCACAATGTAGTTCGTCTCTGAAAACCCTGAAGTAAGGCATACTCCTCGTATAACCAACCTAAAGCTAACTCTAAACGATTCCTCATATCGTCCGTAATATAACGCAACACAGCTTCTTTAATATACGGATTAAACGTCGCGGCTAGTGTCGTTAAAATCTTTGATCTGAAAAAACGAATTTTTCTTTTTATATCGATGATTCCTTTAAATGAGGAAAGAATTCTATACCTCACAGTCGCCACACCGCCCAACACAGCTGTTTTCTCTGAGAGTAAAATGCGATTAACAGCCATTAGTAACATCTTCTCTTTCGTGTCCTTTGCCAGAGGCTTCGTAACTTCCGGTAACTTTAAGGCTTTTAAACGATTTCTAGCTTTGGCCAGTGATTTCTCATGAGCCTCCAAAGACGCTTTAGCTTCTTTCTCCTTTTCCCTATCCTTTTCCCGCTTTCGTTCTCGTTTCGCTTCGGCCACGCTGATGGTCGGGTTCTTCACTAAATCCTCCATCACGGCATCCTCGTCCTTAGCTTCCTTTTTCTTCTTCGATTTAGCTTGTTTTATCTGTGCCGCTAACAACTTGGCAATCGTTATTCGCTGGACATTTATATCAGTCGTAGAAGTGGGCTGATATTCTCTTTGAAAGATCGTCGTCATCGTATCTGGGACCCATGCCTGTTAACGACATACATTTCATAAAAAAGGGAATACATGTCGACTATAAAAGTTCATTTACCATGCTGTCCATCACCAAATCTGTAGCTATATCCACGCTTAATCTATCAGCGATGAAACTCTCGGAAAGTTCGATCAACTCTGGTAATTTCACTGGAGGTACTACGTTAGTTATCACCTCCGGTTCGTCCGGTACCAGAGTGTCGATTTTAACACGTTTCGCTGCCGAAGACGCTGCTGCTTCCTGAGAATCACAGAAAATTTCTATCGATACGATCGATGGTGCATGTAATAGCAATTAATCGTGAACTTACCTGCTGACGTTTTTTCAAACGCCAAATATCACCAGGCTTAGGATATGCCTTAAGAATTTCCTGTTCTTTCGCTCCCAACTGTGTCAATTGCTTAGCTATCGTAGACGCAAATTCTACGCCAGCTGGATGCTTCATCAGTCCTAACAGAGTTAATTTCAACTGTTTTTGCACGCTAGTCACTTGGGAATTGGATAACGTGGGCGGTAAATCGTGTTGTAGCCTTTGCAAAGCTGCAAATCATTCCTTTTTAGCTTAGAGTCTAGTACATATTATGTGACTGCATTCTTTAAAGTTCCATATACCCTGTATTACACCCGGCATAAACTGAGGCCTCATTTTCGCAATTAATGCTAAGGATCCCATGCAGGTCATTAAATTGACACTGCTAACGTGCGGAGAACCATGAAATTTAATCAGTAAATCCATCACATCGTTGGCTTCTTCCTCTAGCTTACGCCTACGCGCTATCTTTAATGTTAGCGGGATATCTTCTAAAGAAAAGTCATCTGCCTTTGTTGGGACGTCCGAATCGGGGTATGTTTGTATCAAAACAACACCCTCAAGAAATTTCACAGCTTGTGTCCTTATCCTGTAGAAAACGGTAATAAATCGGTGTTCGATCAATGTATTTCAAAATGAAATGATAGAAAGCTAACTTACCCATCGTTATCGCTATCGATCATGTTTATAATTTGGACTTTAAGAGCACTAAGTTGATTCCATGCTACTTCCATCTCTGGTGTAACCGTACTAGCAATCGCTATCCATTTCAAGGCAGCCCTCAATATTCTGCCACTAGCTCTGAGAGCTCTTTTAGCAACAGCTGACGATTCATCAGAAACTAATCTCAAAAGTACTTGAACTAAACGTGGAATTACCTCTGGTTGTTTTACCCTGTAAAGCAGATTGATGTATGTACTAAAAGAATATTTGCTATTGATCACATAGATTCCAACGATCATTACCCAGCTTCTTCTATGAAACCTAAAACTGCTTTTCTAACTTCTGCATTTCTATCTAAGGAGAATTGTAGTGCCTCGTCTAAGTACAAGGGAAGCAAATGTGGCTCTTTGTTTATTAAGATCTCTTGAACTTTACATAAATTAGTAACTTTGACACCTTCCTCTGGGCTCAGAGAGATTTCGTTCAACCATTCGACTACCTGTGAAATTGTTAACGCATCGTTTAAACTAAATTCATTTCGAACAGTATCCCTAAATAATCGTTCAACAATTGTTATATAGTCGCGCATCGAAGAACGTTTATACATTCACAATCCGCGTTCAAGAATGATAGTTCGTAAGGTTAGAACACTGACCATGTCACCCGGTCCTTTTTCGGGCTCTTTTCTTCTATGTATACGAGGATCCATCGCATTTAACGATAAATAATTTAAAGTTAAATGCGAACAAGGTAATTATTTACAACGAAGCTGTTGAATAATTATTGGTCGGAGCTTCGATATATTAATTTTAACGCGAGCCTCGCATGAGCCTTGCTTCTCTACTTAAAATAACAGAAAATCTCCCCAGTGCTTTAATGAAAGATCTATATTTTTGTTTTCGACAATATTTCTTGAATATCCTATCTCAGAATTGAAGTTTATAAACGATAAATGATCAACGAAATCGTTTGCGTTGCCATCTTGGCCAGTGATGGGCACATCATGGGGTTTTTGGGACCTACGCAGTAGAATTCTTGGCATTCTCGTTGTCTCCTGGATATTTTGTTCGACCCAGCGATAGAGCGCGAATTCAAACATTTTCTCTTGCACTTTCATTGCCATTACGATTTATTTACATCAGGCTCAACATATGCATGTGTAAATCCGCTGATATATTATTTTGCAAAGTTCTTTTCTATCTGCAAGACGAGTGAAAAGTCTGCTAAGAAAAATTTTTCATTTTACATGCCATCAGTATAGAATTGCGATTAAAATTCTAAAATATCTAAGTGATAATTGCTGAGTAGACCATTTTCGGCGGAAATTTAGACGAGCTTTAAAATTATCAATGCACGGAGTTGGCCCCAAGTATCAAGGGTCAAGTGGATTTAATCGACACACATTTACTCCGGTTTATCGAACAGATAATAGAATAAAAATTCTTTGGATTTAGAGATGAGAACGTAGAATTTTGTAATCAAATCGCAACATTTTTTCGTATGTATGTTTATTAATCGATCAGAGTCGTAACGTTCGCTGAGCTGGATAAACGTAATGCGTTCACGTTATTATTAAGTGACATGATTTCAAGTTTCTACGAAAAGATTCTTGGCATGTCATCTACGACGGAGACGATTAAACAGAAGATTCTATGCGTCGGAATAGCCTGTTTAGATATCGTGCAGACGTGCGAACAGTATCCGATCGAAGATTCCGATCAAAGGTAAGAGAGACTGAGATACGTACATTTCTACGCGCGATTGCGCACTCGCGGTGATTCATACATCGTGTTAATCAAGATTAACACGTCATTTGCGTCGTCTTCGACTATTATTTATTTTATTACTCCATTAAACTTTTTTCTTATAGGTCCCTGGAATATAGGTGGCAAAGAGGAGGCAATGCATCCAACACTTGCACGGTTCTTTCCCAACTTGGAAGCTCGTGCGAGTTTTTTGGTTCGCTGAGCGCGGAGGAACATCTCTGTTTTCTGCAAAATGATTTACTCAAAAATAACATAGACATCTCCCACTGTCCTCTCGTAGCGGAAATCGGCTGTCCGACGTCTACTGTAATTTTAAGCTTGAGCAGTGGCTCCCGCACGATCTTGCATCACAATGCAAATATGCCAGAAGTGACATTCGAACAGTTCGAACAATTGAATTTGAAGGATTACACTTGGATTCATTTCGAGGGCAGGAACATGGATCAAGTGTTGCCCATGATGCAGCATGTAGAGAATCACAACAATACGTTAAACTATAATCAGAATTCTTCCAAGGAAATAGATATGACTCAAGTGCCTATTACCATTAGTATAGAATTAGAGCGCCCGAGACAGGAATTATTAGATCTGTTACCTTACGCTGATGTAGCATTCATAGCTAAAGACTTTGCACGAAGTAGGGGATACGATAACATGAGTGAGACGCTGAAAAATGTCATTGAAGATGCCAAGTCTGGGTATGAATTCATTTGTACAACGTATCTTCGTTTTAACCATGAGAACTTGATGTATTATGTATGTATATTTTTCTAGAGCGACTCTTATATGTGCCTGGGGTGACAGAGGCGCGATGGCAATAACTCCAGACAATATTATAGTGCAATCACCTGCGTTCCCACCGTCGAAAATAGTGGACACCTTAGGTGCCGGGGACACTTTCAATGCCGCGGTACTACATTTCCTAAATAAAGCTAAATTAAAATTTTTTCAAAGAGATAAATTAGGAACGCTAAGTGCCTTACGAAGAGATTCAGAAATGAAACGTAATATTAAGAAGAATTATAACATTGAGAGTATGGAGTGTAGTCGTACAGAATTTATCACACAAAATGTTTTACAAAGGGCTGTGACGTTCGGCTGCCAGGTAGCTGGTAGTAAAGTTGGTTTAAAGGGATACGGTGAATTGGGTGAAATTTTTAAGGATGTACTAGAATGTTAGCGTTAAATTATATTATATTAAAATAGGAGACTGTGATTGATCGTACGTAAAGGAAACTGACTGATTATTAAAAGCATTGCTAAGATTTCATAACAAATGAAATTCGTTTACATTTTATTCATACATGCACAGACGGACGTACACGTTGTGTATATTAATATTATAACACATAAATTTGAACATTCATTCGTATCATATATTAATAGTAAAAGGAAAGACTTACACTCGGATGTCAATATACACGAACTACAACAAACAGTATCTTCTTATTTGCATTCATTATGCAAGTAGTTCTTACCCTTACATATAATTTTTTTTAAACATAGTAACAAAAAATATAAAATTTAAAATAACGACGAAATTTAATATGAATAAAAGATCTTCTTGACTTCCTAATTATATAATAACGATGACTAATAACATATGTACCTGTATAGTACAAATAAGCAAAAAGATCAGGTGACAAAGAATAAAAATGGAATGCTTTCCTTTGTAAACTTATTCTTAAATGAAAACTTTAATAACAGACAAGAAATATCTATTAATCAGCTGGCTCCAAACCGGAATCGAAGAAGTCTAGAATGCGGTGAAAAGCCAAGCGTGGAAAAGTTCTGAAAATAAAAAAATGTTATTCACACTACAGTAGAATTAGAATATCGCGTTACGTACCTCCAGGTACTATTAACATAGAGCCAGTGCCCGGGAATTGTAGCTTCTGCGATATTTCGCCGCTGCGCATTTGTTATTTTAGCAGCTGCTTCTTTTGGTGGAACTTGCCCCATGATGCTTGGGAACCTGCAGAACAGAATAAGAAAACTACGCTTTACGATTAGAACTTGATGCAAACGAACGACTTTTCACCGCATAATTTCGCAATTATTTTTTACTTCTAAACACATAATTCTGCGGAAAACGATCATCTATCAGATGCTGTTATTTCTCATATATACCTCTAGTCCAACAATCGAGTCTGAATGGTAATGCATGTAAATAAGGCAATAATTTATACAAATTAATCGCGTATTAAACAACGGCAACCTATATTATGAATAAATATCATTTGCAATTCATATCGATTTACCTGATTCTTGGCTTCTTGCACAGCCCCGTATCTACCATATATGGATAAATAGTAGTAAAATTGATGTTCGATTTAATCGTTTTTGCTTGACACATTACTCGGACTTCTTCCTCTAAGCTTTCCATTAATCCTGATGAAACGTAAGAGATACGGCAATTTAAACGTCGGAAAATTATATTGGAAAAGACACGCAACATAATTTTTACCTCTTACTGCGAACTTCGAGGCGCAATAGGGGACAACGTTCGGCAAACCGACAAGACCGCACATGGACGAAAGGGCAACTATGTGGCCGTAATTCTTTTGAAGCATGCTGGGCAAGAAAGCTTGGACTGTCTGTAGGTAAATCATTGTTGTACGATTAGAAGAAGAAATAGATTTTTGAAACAACGAAACTCGATACTTTACCCAGCATTGACCCAACACGTTGACATTCAACATCTGTTTAATTTCCTCAGGTGTGTGTTCTAGGAAAGGGTGACAAGCCATGATGCCAGCATTGTTAATTAGGATCGTCACATTTCCAACTTCCTCCCTAACTTTCTCAGCCGTTTTGAATACTTCTTCCCTGTTTGAAACGTCGCATCTACGGATTGCGTGAAATGATGAGCGACCGAGCGATCTTCTCTTCGGTATGTATTTTTAATTGAAAAATTACTTGTAACCGTATGCTTTGGTTTTTCCCAATTGTTTAATTTCGTTCACGGTCGCATTATTTCCCTCTTGATTCAAGTCCCAACAAACGACAGTAGCACCGAGAGATGCATATTTTAAAGCTAATTCCTTACCAATACCATGACCGGCGCCCGTTACCTATTATGTCAATATTTCAATTATTATTAGCATGTTATTAACAAGAATTGATACGCACATTGTAGTATCTGATATCAAAGCAATGTTATATAGTTAGTAGAAACATCTACGTAACGCGTTACATACTAATTATTAATTTATAACTAATTTCAAATATTTATTAACTATGTCATTCTTTTCGTAATTCAGTTGTTTTGCTTATACTTATTATCGACGATGACATGTATTTTTTGCTGTTTTTCACAATGAACTGAAATCGCAACGTACCAAGACAATTTCGCCGGCTACGCTCTTCTCTTCGACTGGTACAATTAATCTGTATATCGCCTCGCCAATGTAATAAAGAACTTTGAGAATCAGCAGCAAGACATCTGCTACCAACAATATACCCCCGTACGCGTTGACCATGATTTCTTGTACCCCGTTTCTGCATCAAAGTATGCACTTATAATCAATAAAAAATAACTGAACCGATAAGAATAAAATAATAAGGAAAATTCCTATTAATATAGCCCGATACGGATAGAGAACAAGAGTAATAATTTAGCTTTTATCATACATAATTAAAAGACTGATAACATTAACGATGTCATTTCATAGATGCTTATGTCTCATAGAAATTTTGAAATAGCCTTTTAAATATCCGACAATGCTAATTCTCTTTCTAATGAAAACATAAAAATATCCTTACTACTTTGTTGAACGAGGTTGTGTATTATTATGTAAAGTCATTAAAATTAGGAAGTACGTGACGCAGACACGCTACAATAGTCTATATTTTTTACAGAGAACGATATCCACGTAAATTATGCGAATGCAACAGTCATTATCCGTAATTACAGCAATGTACGTAGTTGATTACATATCTTGTTTCAGGTAAATATGTGGTTTTCATGTGTGAATTAATGATACTATTCGAAAACAATGATCTATTGTGAATTGAATATATCATAATAGAGTATTGTACATATGTATATTCAATTTGTGAATTTTTTAATTGAACATACGATAATCTATTATTAATATTAATTTTTTAACTGATAGATAATCAAAAATGATCTTGAATTATATATATGTATACCTATCTAATCAATCCGAACCGTTTCTAGTGAATTCAATTTCACCTGTTGTTTGGCTTATTCACAAGAATTGTTTGTAGAGCAGATTTCGTTTGATCAAGAATCTGATTAATGTCCACAGTGAGTAAAAGAGAAGAATTAACGATTTCGCTTACCGATATCGAGCTGGTGTATCTCAGATCGAAGTGAGCGGATTTAATCACGAAAAAAATTCTGCGGAACAAGAGAAAGCGTACTTAATAGATGCGCGATTCCCTTTCGATCGATTCAACGGAAAAACAAACGGTGAGGAGTTACGAACCGCTGCCGTTCGTGTTCGGATAGCGACTAAACGAAACCGAATGACTATAACGCTTCCGTGGACAATACCAAGCAGAATCTTTGCACCGCTGTCAACCGACTGGACAGTTCGATTGGGTATAGGATGATCGCAAATATCAACCGGAATATCAGATGGTAGCGTGGGTGTGGGTGGTTGTGTTCAAACTACTTCCGGATGCGCGTAAAATAAGCCTCGGCGAACGAAGGCAATTCTATTACGACGTTGAAACGTTAATAGAACTGAAATAGGATATAAATATTTCACCTTTGCCAATATACGAGATAGCTACGATTATCGTATATGTAAATATTGTGTCAGCGTTTCATTTTATAAGTCGAGGTACGCTTACCTACAACGGGAAGAGATAAGAGCACACTCGAAGAGTCATTTGACTGAGAATCACGATACTTTCACGGCATGCAGCGGTGTATCGTTTAATCGTTTCAAGCAAAACGAGTTCCTCAGGACCCACGCTTTCTTCGACTGAATTTCGATCGGAAGAATTCCCGGCGTCGCCACACTCTCGCCCTGAACTGAAAGTAACGCGACCATCGCGATGACCCGATCCTACTAAATTTCGGCGACGGTGCGGCGGAGGGAACTGCCGTTTCAAAAATATAATGAGGTGTAGCTCATGTATCACTTTCCCCGTCGTTGACAACAGCATCACTCGTATGAAACTGCGCAGCTCGTTTCTTCCTTTTCCCCACGCCATAGCTACCTGTGTCCATGATTCCACGCCGGCTTTCATAGGCGTCGCGTCGTTTACGCAATCACTTTCGTTACGTGATATGTATACCATATGTCCAGAAGACGCCAGTGTTTATCTATGTACGTTACGCGTAAAATCGAGGGTTGCACGCATATGACAGTATCGATTTTTCTGATTTAGAGTTAAAAATGATTTGGAGAGAAAGAGCGCTTTAAATGTAGCTGTACAATGAACGCGAAACGTGACTCTACTGACGAGTATCTACTTTTCGGCCGAATTTAGAAACCGAAGTAGATTTTATTTAGGAGTTAATGTATAACAATCATTTATTACTGAAAATGGTACTAAATTATAAGAACATGTTTTTAACTAACTTTTCTCAAGTTCAATCGATACCCAATTTAAACCGACGAACTGACTGAAACATGACACGTTGTTGACTGGAAATTGTATAAGAAATACGTGGAAATACGTATCGCCTTGATTTATATATCATTTATATTATATATCACATATTTCTAATACACGTTATATTGTATAAAGCAATAAAGATAACACGAATAAAGTAGAAGTATAAGAAAAATTGCAAATGCATTCGTGCACTTTAAATAATATTTCTCTAATCTTATTTATAGCTAATTATGCTCATATCGTTGTTCCGATATGTCTAGCGCTAAACCGATCTAGAACTTTTCAAGTTGAAAGTTCGATTTTTCCGGCTGCTTTTCCTTCTGCCTCCCTCGCTAGAATCGATGAGAGTGCAATGCACCAATTCATCGACCTTCCATCGGGACCTGAAACATCTGTCTAATAAACCGATGAAAATTCATTCCAGCGAGTTATTTCTGTCCATGCTCGACCAGTGCTTATTCCGTTCGAGAACGAGTACGGTTTTTTTTTTTACATTTACGGCTTACGGACTAGGATAAACCTTGATTCTCGAATGATATGATTTTCGAAAGATTATACGTTCAAAAATATCATACTAAAATGTCAAGGTTGGGTCTCAACTAGTTTTCGAATCAACTAGTTTTCGAGTGGCAGCCTTCTAATAGTATTAATATAATATAAGTAATAATGTAATAATTAATACTTTAAACGCGTTTCTCTCGAAACAGTGTTTTCCAAATTTGCTGCAGCTCGAAATCAAAGACCAATTGTCCGATTGACTTGAAATTTTAACACAGTGTTTTGGACATGCTTTATTGTGAACTAGAATATTCTTGATTAGTTGAAAAATTTCTTAAGAACGTTGTCAGATCTCAACATTTCTCGGAGATCCTAGTTCATTCGATAGAGAAAACCTTCTAGTTTAACAGGATATTTTTTTTTTCGGGCATCGTAGCGACCTGTACCATTGCAGCAGTGGAGGCACTTTTTTTTTGGCGTCTCGGGAGATAGTGTACAACTCGATCGCCTTTCGTTATTTTTGTACTAAAAAATCCTGCGTAGGCCCCTTAACGCTTGTTCATTTTTTCAGTTATGTCGATTTAAGTCTCGTTTTCGCGTTTAATTGAAAATGTTCATCTTGAACGGGGCTTTACTCGATGAATCTAATGAAAAGACTTTGTCACGCCGATTTTATATACCAGACTTTCAGTATTCTAGGACCGCGGAAGAGTTTGAAATGTTATTTTGATGCCAGGCTTTAGAGATCTTCTTTTTCACGACGGGACAAGAATTTCAACGGTAATATGCTATTGTTAGACATTGCTTGATGTACATACGTAAGAAACGTATGTATAGTCTATTGACTCGTTTCCTATACGAACAGTGAAATCGATATAGGGTTCACGAACCTGCCTTTCAGGAGAAAAACTCCCCCGACAATTGAAGCGATTACCAATGCTTTTATTAAGAACAGTGCAAGGGTGCATGACTTATTCTATAGTCGAATCTTTCGAATAGACCTTTCGCGTATACACGAATGATTAAACTCAAAATCCGGTTGACACAGATTTCCCTACAGTAGAGGTGGAATAGCTTTTTATCATTGGAAACCATATTTAAATTAGGCAATACACCGAGGAGATATTAGTAATAGATATATGAATATTCCCCTGGTGGCAGTAATGACGGAGAACGCTATAATTTTGTATATTTCACTGTTGGCATTTTTATTTGTTCAAGCACACATGTATCTATCCAGATCCTTAAATTTTAATAGACTACTA